AGTCGTATTGTAGTTTTGTAATTATACCTTTACCAATTTTGATTGATTGCCATTGAACAAAATGAAGACATTTATATAGCTCGTGTTGGTTTATTTTTTGTGTTTTTTACAAAAACTTCAAGCTTACGTTTTAATTTTTACTGTTTGACTTTTGAGTTTTTTTAAATTCAATTCAAATTCATTTGATTAAAAAAGTATTTTTTTGCTCTCTCATTACGACACCTCAAATGGCGTTATAGTGACGCTTTTTTTGATTACTGAGTCTGCATTGCTGATTTAAATTATCCTGACAAAACGCACAAAACCTGACAACTGAAAATTTGTTTTTTTTTCGAACTGGGTTGATTTAAGACGAAAAACGATGAAGACAGAATTTGCTTAAAGTTCAGCAGAATGAATATGATATATTTCGTTTTGCGAAATGAGGACCCGAATTTTTACCCCAAAAATGAATTATTTTTAAGGTTCGATGAACGTAGTTCAGACTCTTATATAGGGGATGATGATTTGTTTTATTTTTTTTTCAGGAAAAGTCTTAAAATTCGTTCACGCTCAATTGAACTTTTTTGTGGTTTGACTTTTGATTTATTTAAAGTTTAGTTCATTTCTTAGAAAGATGGCAACCTCTACTATCGAGCAGCAAAAGTGTAAAGGTCACAAAAACGTGATCGACTTTTAGTTTTGAAAGTGGAATTAATTATATTTTACCTTTGATACAGTTTTCTCAAACTTTAGTTAATATTTATCAAAAAATTGCCGATCATAAGTGTTCTAGAAATTTGAAGATTTTAAGGCTATTTTTTTAAAATTTGAAATTCGAAAGTTGAGGTTGTTCAAAAAAGGCCAATATTGAAAAAATATTGATTTTTTAGTCAATCAAAAATTACGCTGAAACTACCGGGTCAATTACTGTGACAAGAATTATATCAAATTGAGCCTCCTATAGAATCCAGCAAATTTAAGAAAAGTATAAACTCCAATAAAACGTATAAATGAATTAAAACGTATAAATTAAAGCAATTTTACTGTTTAGAATACCAGTTTTTTATTTGAAAATAATTTTAAAACGCTTTGCTTAAACAGTTCAAGATAATATCTTTTTAAAGTTTGTTAGGCTCTATAAGAGGCTCATTTTGATATAAGTTTGTCTTTAATTAACCCAGTAGTTTCAGAGTAATTTTTTATTGAATAAAAAGCCAAAAGTTAATAAATTTTGGGCCCGAATTTCGAAATTAGCGCATATTGGTTCTGCTAAAATTTTAAACAAGCAGTGTATTCAATATTTTGTCTTAAATCATCCCAGTTTGAGAAAAAAACGCTTGTTTAGTTTCAATTGTGTGTCTTTTGTCCGGATACATTAAATCTGCACTGTATAATCAGAAAGTTAAACAGTAAACAGAAGTTTTTTTTCAGATTTTTTTTTGGTTATTTAAAATGTTCTATCGGCAAGGAAGCGACAAATGAAGCTTCCGATACTAATTTAACCGAAATAAACCTAAGTTTTGCTCTTTTTCTTTCCCTCCGGCAGCGAGTTTTTTCAATTGATTTTTGTTCACATTGTTTGATAGTTACAAAAATTGGCATGCAGACTAATTAGGCTGTGGCAAACATAAGGAAAGAAGTAATTTTTAAAATCTGGAATAAGAAAACGGCGGACTGGTCGGGGGGTTTATTTTCTGGCAATTTTGGTATCTCAACTGATATTTTAAAAACATGCTTTCTCATTTCCTAATACCAACACCTAATCTCGAGGTCTGGTTATATCGCCCACAACATCTGGTCTTCACGGCCTAAGTTAAATGCAAAAAAAAACTTTTGTAAGCCTGCTCGCTCTCAAAAATTTCAAACCTGATTTTTTTTCAATACCGCGGCAACATTTTGAAACTTTTTTGATTTCATTTGAATCACAACTGAAAGGGCTTTGACTTGATAAATCACTTTACCGATTTTGATGATAACACTTGCGAGAAACATTTTTCCCGTACTTAACTTTGTTCACAGCATGTTGAAATGCTAATCAGTATGTTTTATACCTGTTGCATGGTCTGTGTACCTCTGCATGGTTAAGTAATAGCATGGTTAAGTTATTGGTTGCCTATAGTTTTTCAAAAGTAAATTCAAAATGTGGGACAGATTTTTGGCAATTGTTCGGCTTTAATTCTGTCGGCTTGTTTTCCTAATGTTCATATTACCCATGCGATAAGCAAGATTATTGCAATCTTGTACTAGATTTTTTCCCGTAACTAATTTTGAGCATAGATTGGTCTAAATTAGAAATTGTAAATTTAGGTTCAATTCTTGATCATTTCCTTTTTTTATGTGTATCCGGCACGCAACAAACGCCTGCGTCAACAAATGTCCTGGGTTTGAACCTGACAGGACCTGTTTTTTTTCAAATAAAAAAATTTCCGTTTCAAAAAAATTGTCGGCACATCATTTTGTTAATATTTTGTCGGCTTAGTTCTCAAATTGTAAAATTGTTGTTTTTTTAATCGATTTTAACAATATACTTGCTTTTAGTGTTTTGCTTTTAGATGTAGCTCTGATGTTTGTAATTTTAGTAACCTTGACTTCTTATTTTTTTTTGCTTTAAAACTTTATTCTGCCAAAATGGTTGATACAGCTCTGTAAATTGTTTTTTTTTCCAGACAATTTTGATTAAAAAATTTCTGTCTGCTAGTTTTTGCTATGTTTTTGTTGTGTATCAAGTTTTCTGCGGTTTAATTTCCGAATTCGGTCTTGCATTAACTACATAAAAAGCAATCGTAGACAATATATAAACAGTACGTTTTGGTCGATTTTCTGTTTATTGGCTGTCGGTTTTAATTTTGTTTGTCGTTTTTCTACCTAATATTTTGTTTTCTACGAATTTTCGGTTTTTAAGGATCGAATAGACTCTGATCTATTTTTCGAATGGTCAAAATCAAATGCACAAGGTTGTCTTGAAAGAAATTGGGCTCTTTTCCAGTCCCCCCCCCCCCCTTCAAACTCATTTTTGAAAAGCTTATTTAACGTTGTCATAATGCAATGAAAATTGGCATGGTGAACAAATTGACAATTATAAACAGATTTGCTCTTCATACTTTACATCGTAACATTACGCATTTAGCCGTAAAAACACGTAAAACGAACATAAAAATCGATATTTTGAAAGGTGGGGGAGAAAGTGGAAAAGAGCCAGAAATTGAATAAATTTAATCATGAAAAAAAAGTGCGTTTTTTTTTCGTTTTTGAAGTTTTTTTTTAGTTCATTGTATCAATTTTTTCTTCTCGAAGTTTTTTTGCTATCTCTTCAGTGTCATGCTGTTTTAATCAGCTCAGCTTCGCCTCTGTGTTGTTCGTGGTACCTGATTTCGTACGGAAAACAAAAAAAAACAGAAAAAACTGGAATACAAGAAGACAAAATTATATCCCCGTTTTCAATGGACGGAAAAACAGAATATCAGGCTCTTTTCCACTACACTGCCCACATGTAAATTTCAGTTCGAAAACTAATTTATACGTTAGTTATGATGCAATGAAAATTTGCATGGTGAACATACTAACTATTGTGAAAACATTTGCTGTTCATACCTTTCATCGTTAACATCACGCATTCAGCCATAATAAAACGTAAGACAACTGTAGAAACTGAAAATTTGATAAGCGAAGGGGGGGGGGGGTCTCGGAGTGGAAAAGAGCCTAATCTCAGGTCGCTACTCAAGTATCCCAGAATTTTTGATTCTCATATCCAATCTTTGTTTTGCAGTGAGATTGGGGTAAAAAGGTTCTTTGTTTCCAACCTTCTTCTAGTTGCAACTGCAGCTCCTCTGCCTCTTTCAGTTCCAATTCTAACTCCTCTTTCTCCTGGAACAGTCTGATGACGTCACGCATAGTAGACGCCTGCTGGCCATGTCCGGCCACATTGACGTTGTTATTGTTATTGTGTGCCATGGACATTTTGGTCACGTGATTATCGCGACGTGACTGTGATAACCAGATTAAGATCTTTCCTTGATCTCCCCTGAAGTCAAGATCCAACCTCACCCAAATTTAACTGTGTGTACCCATTTAGAAGGAGCTGAATTATTGATTCTTTTCTTACAGTAAATTTTAAAAGTTGGAATTAAGTTGTATGGCATGAAAGTGTAGGAGTCACGGCGATTTGACCTATTGACTCACGGAACTGAGGGTGCAAAAGGCGGGGGTTTTATTTCTGAGGGAGGAGGTGCGTCCTCCCCCACCTGCATCCGCAACTGATTCTAATATTTAATTCATATTTATCGTGATCTAATCTGGTTATCACTTGTTGGGATGGAGTGTTATTTACTCCAGTCATCTTCTAGTCAAATATTCAGTGGGTTATGTCTTTCCGGCTCTTTTTCCTTTTCCCCCCCACCTGCAAATTTTTATATTTGAAGTTACTGTTCACTTTGTCCGATTGCCGTAAAAATTGACATGCAGACTGATTTGGCCTTTACAAGCATATTTGGTCATCATAATTAACCTTGTAAAACCACTCGTTAAACCATAAAGTTCATGTTTGAGTGAGGTTGGGGGCAAAAGGAAAAAGAGCCGTCTTTCCAACTCAATCAATTTCTTCCGAGCACGTGCAATGGTGAAGTCCCATTTGTACCAAAATGAAAAATTGGTACCATTTGTACCAAAATTATTCAACTCGATTTCTGATTGGTCGAATTGTGGGCCAACAAATTATTACACTAATTTTCTGCTGTTCAAACAAGAAAACTATACAGCAGAATAGTGACCGCCGCAGTCGCGCCAACGTGTTGCGAGCTGGCCAACAGAGGGTAGGACGGCTCGTTTTCCTTCCCCCCCCCCCCCCCACCTGCATTTTTTTATGATTAAAATTACTGTTCGCATTGTCCGATTGTCATGAAAATTGACATACAAATGGATTAGGCCATGAAAAACATATTTGGTCTTCATAATTAACCTTGTAAAATCATTCGTTAGACCATAAAATCGATGCTCATGTGAGGTTTTATGGCCTCAATTAGCCTAATTGTTGTGATAAACTTATTAAATAGAGAGGGCAGATGGATTCGATTAGTGATGCTACTGATGCAAATGATTTTTTAATTGAGAGAAACACAGATGTGCCGGGACTGAGGTATCATGATCAGACTCCAGTATCAAAACCAACACCAAAACGGCCAAATATTGTACTGAGCCCATGTGACGAAGAAAATTCAGAGGACGATGTGACTGGGAAGCTGAAGCATAGCATTGAAGAGTCAATGAAGTTGTTGATACCCAGCCTTGTAGAGCAAATCAAGGATCAACTAATGACTGCAATCAACGTCGCTGTTGAGTCCGCAATAAACAACATGAAGAAGGAAATCATCTCATCCTCCAAAATGGAAATAGCATCTCAGGCGAATGTCAGCTATCTTAGGACTTTATCTGAAGCAGAAAAACTTGAATCATATAATCGACGAGATAACCTAAGAATTCTAGGAATCCCCGAGTGTTTGGAAGGGGAGAATAATCGTGAGAACTTTGATACAACAATAGCGAAGGTAGTGGAGATTTCTCATGATGTTGGTGCAAATGTGCGAGCGTCAGATATCTCAATAGCTCATCGATTGCCATCTCGATCAAATAGAGGCAAACCAATTATCGTTCGTTTCGCCAGAAGAATCGCCAAAATCAACTTGCTGCGAAACAAAAAAAAAGATGGCAGATAAAGAAGGTTTGAAAAATATAAGCGTCTTTGAAGACTTATCAAAGGCTCGTGTCAATTTCATAAAAATGATGAAGAGTGATTGCCGAATTAAATCTGCGTGGACCCGAGAAGGTGTAATCCATTATATATGGAAGGCAGACGAGCGACTATATCGTATCGATGGACTTTACGAAGGCGGGAGTTCCTTGAAATACAGATTTCAAGATGTGATGAATTGCTTCCAAAGTGTTTTCCACGAAGCAGGAGATAAAGGAGGATCGTAAACAATCTAGTGATGTTAATGTCGTTAATTCAAAACCAAATATTTCACAGAATAACAGTACTTTAATTAATAAAACTGAAAATTCCAAAGTTTCGGTGCTACATTTAAATATAAGATCTTCAAAACCGCACTTCGACAAATTGGAAGCACTTATTCTAAGCCCTGAGTCTCCACCTGATATAATTTGTATAACGGAAACTTGGTTGACAAAAAATGATCCAAGTGAAAGCTGGTTAATCAATGGTTATAATCATTATTTTAGAAAAAATCGCGAAACACCAGGTGGTGGTGTAATGATCCAAGCAAGAAAAACATGCTGCTTGCTGAATCAACTTGATTCATTTTCAGAAGAAAGCTTAACGGTCGACATCTTAAAAAATGGCTATAAATTCTCATTATGTGTGATTTATAACCCACCAAAATCAAACAAAATGCAATTCATTGATAGGCTTGATGAGTTTTTGGAAAATTCCAAAAGTGCAAATCATCCGTTCATTCTTTGTGGTGATCTTAACATTGATATAATACCTGATAACTTACTGAGCCAAAATTATTTAAATTGTATTCATTCAAATGGTTTTTCGATAAACGGTCGTGAACCAACTCGCGTTACAGCCACCTCTTCAATTTGTTTGGATCATTTCATTTTCGGCAATTTAACTGAACCTCATTCAATGGTACTAAATAGTGAACATTTATCAGATCATTATCCAATACTCTTGGAATGGGTCATAAAGTGTCAAATTGTTAATAATGAAGTTCCGTTTCGCGATACATCATTCCTAAAAAGTCGGAGCCAAGTTGAAGAATTTTTAAAAATTGCGGAAAGTAAATTGGCCTCACATAAAATAGTAATTTTTGAAATGAATGATGCAGATGCAGCTTTCAAATTGTTCGCAAAATCTTTCGAAGAGGTATTGAATATGTTTGCACCATTAAAAACCAAGAAAAAATTGGTCACAAAGCAACCCGCCCGGTTCACAAATAAACTTAAAAACCTTAGAACAAAGCGAAATAATGCACACAAAAAATGGAAGTTGAATCAGAATGATTATCAACTGCTTCAAACGTTCAGAAGTTTAAGAGATCGTTTTGAGAAAGAAATAAAATTATCTAAAGAGAATTATTATTGGAATAAATTCAAAAACTGTATAGGAGACTCAAGGCAGACATATAAAATTTTAAACGATATCAGTGGTAAAAGTAACAAAAACAGCAAGATTCCTCCATTGCAATCATGCATTGATGAAAACGAAAATGCAACAGAGAGATGTTGCTGATAAATTTAACTATTTTTTCACCACAGTTGGAAAAGGACTTCAAAATGATGTTCCTAATGTTGATAGGTTTAACGTTGAATATGTTCCATATTCCATGCTTCTGAAAAAAACATGCGAAACAGAAGTTTTTAAAGTCCTAAATTACCTAGATAGTAAAAGCTCGTCCGGTGATGATAACATCAGTAACCTTATTGTGAAAACTTCAGCGAAAGTCGTGGCACCATATCTAAGCTTCTTAATCAACTTATCATTCACAAAAGGCGTGTTTCCTAAAGAACTTTGTAAAACGAAAGTAGTGCCGCTTCATAAAGATGGATCAAAACTTGATGAGAACAATTATAGACCAATTTCACTTTTAATTGTTTGGAGTAAAATCTATGAGCGCATTATGTATAACCGTATTTATTCATATTTAGAGAATTTTTCTCTTTTATGCAAAACAATTTGGTTTTCGTAATAAGCATAGCACAATTGATGCACTTGCTGAGCTTACCGAAAGAATTAGAATGTATCCTTCTTCGAATGAAATTTTTAGTTGTTTCCTTGACTTGAAGAAAGCTTTTGACACTATTGACCATAATATCTTGCTATACAAATTGGATATGTATGGGTTTAGGGGTAACTGTTTAAAATGGTTGAGCTCATATCTCAGTAATCGCATACAGCGAGTTGTAGTAAATGGTGTTTCATCTAGCTGGAGTAAAATAGAATGTGGTGTACCACAAGGCTCAATTTTAGGTCCCTTGCTTTTTCTATTATATATAAATGACCTCCCTAAAGCATGCGAAACATCAGAAGTATTGCTATTTGCAGACGATACGAATCTAACATCAATAGGTTGTCAAGTAATTGACGTTCAAAAAGACATGACGTCTTAAAATAACTGGCTACATGCAAATAAATTGGTGATTAACCTATCTAAAACAGTTCAAATGAATGTAAAGTTAAGTGCTTCCAATCATTTATTTCAGTTAAACTCTTGCTCGATAAATACGAAACCTGTTTGTAAATATTTAGGCATTTAAATAGACTCCAAATTTTCTTTTAAAAGTCATATCGATTTCGTCAAAAAGAAACTTAGTAAACAATGCGGTATAGTTTCAAAGCTACGGCACTACGTGCCGAGGTCTCAAATGATCGAATACTACAGTAGCAATGTCGTTCCCATTCTCCAGTATGGCATTTTAATTTATGGATGTTGCAGCTATTCGCAGCTGGAACAACTTAATGTTTTACAAAAGAAAATCCTCAAATTCATTTTTTTCAGAAAACGTCGAGATCGTAGTAATGATATTTTTGAAAAATATAGTTTGTTAACCGTTTATGATTATCATCTCTATGAGCTATTAAAATTTGTTCTTAAATCAGTTATTGGTGTTCATAATGATAGCTTTCTGAATGATTTATTTGTTTTTCAAAATGCAAAAAGAGCTACTAGAAATTCTGATAGCAGCCTTCTGTTCGAACCATTTTGTAAACGCAAAATTGAGCGCTTCTCGATTCGATATCGCGCTTGTAAACTTTTTAATAAGCTGCGGGTTCTGAATTTGATACCTGCACACGTCAAAAGTTGTTCTTTTTCAGAAATTTTGGCAATTTACCATTCTTTGAAAATATACCTGGTACAAAACCATGAATTAGTGAAACATATATTTGGCTTATAAAAAAAATTAAAACCCATACCCGTTGGTTGCATGCTACAGGACTACCAGCTATATATCAGCTTTTTTGTGTAAAAAAATGACCTCCTAAATCCTTCTAGTTTTCGAGATATCGAGGTTTTTTGATTTTTTTTTGGACTTTTCTCACTAAATTTTTTTCGAAAAACTTGAAAAAAAAAATTATTCATATAATATTACAGCGCCCTAGAAGTATTGTTAAGCTTAGTACTGTTAAGTTCAGTAGTTAGTTAATGTCAACATGAATTTATAAATAGATATAATTTTTTTTTTCACGAGCTGTAGCTTTTGTATTTAAATAAAAATATATTTGCTCGCATTGTTTAATTTGATTTGTTTCATTAAAGATGTTTCATTTGAATAGAAGGGTAGACTTTTAGTGGACCAACAGGTCCCGTTGTCTATCCGTTCCTGCTTTAAATGTGGCAAATTTAATTACGCTGATATATTGTTTATAAAAGGAAAAATATATTCTTTCTTTCTTTCTTTAGGTGGGGGGGGGGGGGGGGCGGTAGGACTCTATACCAAGTTTAGAGCTGGTTATCGCCGCGAAGCAGCGCGCCCACCGGTGACCTTAAACCAAGGGCTTAAAATAGTCAGCTTAGCAGTCTTTGGCCATTTGAATACTTTTTGATTTTGGTACAAATGTGACTGATTTATCATTTTGGTACTTGTGAATATCATCCACCACGTGCAATAAACGATCTAGCTTACTCTTGCTTTTTGCGTAATAGCGAGACGAACAGTCATGTGATGTGGGGCCTTCATTTCTTTCGTTATGACTGAACTGTCTTAGAGTCGATGAACGTAGTTCAGACTCTTGTATAGGTCGTGATGATTTTTTTAGTTTTGAAATTTGTTCTGGCTCAAGTTTGAAATTTGTTCTGGCTCAAGTAACAGCAAAAGTGTAAAGGTCTCGAAAAACGTGATCGTCTTCTTGGAACTCAATTTTCAAGTTTCCCAGGAGAATAAAAAAAATACCTATTGATCCAGCTTGCTCAAATTGAGCGAGTTTTTCTCAAAAAAGTGTCAATGATAAATTGTTTCAGGGGAATTGATAAAAAAAATCAGTGCTTTTTTCTGTTTAATTGAGTTCATTGACTCTTTAAGAGTAATGTACGTTGTGAAGACTCTTTATATAGGTCTTGGTGATTTTTTTTTAGGAAAAAGTCTTAAAGTGCTCTAATAACTACAGATGTGCTTTCATACATATTGATGCATTTATGAATACACATTTTGAGTTCAATTGATATTCATCTGCTGAAAGTTGCGTAAATAGCATTCTCCAAATACGAACGTGGAAATGGCGCAAAAAACGTGAACGGTTTCTAGTTTCGAAAGTGGAATTTATTTTTAAAATTTCCCAGCGGAATAAAAACTTTACCTGTGGATCCAGTTTTCTCAAGTTGGGTATGGGTTAATGTTATCAAAAAGCGCCAATCATAAATTGTTCTTAAGGGCATCTATTTTTCCTTTGAATTTCAAAAGTTGAGGGGGGTAGAGATTGCTCAAATGATCCGACTTTCAAGTTTGAATTACTCTTAACGTTGTCATAACTCAAGGAATTTTCACATCGTGATTAAACTGACTATTTTGAACAAATTTGTTTTTTATACTATACATCGTAACATCGCGGATTTAGTCAATAACTCGTAAAATAACTACAAAAATAGAAAATTTCAAATGAGGGGAGGGGAGAGGAAAAAAGCCGGAGCCCGAGCCCGTAGTTATGCAAAGAGCCTCTTGATAATGTTTTCGAGCTTCAAAGAAAGGTGGCAAAGATCACATTTGTTAATTGGTGTTTTGATTTTTTTCATATAGCCATGTCGTGAGTAGCTCATCCGAGCAAAAAGATCACCATAAAATGTTGTAGCGCATCTTAGAATTATTTGAGAATTATGGAAGATTTTCAACAAGGCTGTCTGAAAAGAAACATATTGTTTTTCCACTTCAACAAATCTCGTGCAATAATATTTAACTATTGATATCAAGGTTGGTTTTAATGCGATTGGGGCTTAACGTGAAAACAAAAGAAGAATGTATATTTTCATTTATTACCTTAAAAAACCTCTTGCATGAATTTTTTGCCAGTGTTTTGAATTCGAACTTGCGTTTCAGAGGCAAATCAGTGATCGAACTGGGAGGAGGAATGACATGTTTAGCTGGTCTTCTGGTGAGTCACAAAACAAACGCCCACTTAATTTATATCAAGATCATGAGTGCAAATATCACATCACGGGTAACTGTTTTTTTTTGCAGCTGGCAGCAGCGGTCAAATGTGACCGAGTGATGTTAACAGACGGATCTGACGAATCGATTTCAAGTAAGACAGCACGTACAAATTGTGAAAATTTCCATGTCGGATCATTTCATTGCTCTGGTTCAGTTTGAGGAATCTTAGCTCTGTTTTCTAGATCTGCAATTGACTCTAGAGCGCAACTCGCACCTGAAAACACAAGATGTCAAATCAAGGTAAGCACTGGGGTTAATGGAGTTTGTTTTGATTTCAATTGATTTTTATGCATAACTGTTAGGCACTTGACCAAAAAAAAAACAGATTCAACGTGATAATTGTGATTGTTTTCACTCTAACTTTTGGTTCTTTTTGACTCCCGCCTCCATTCAAATTCTCCATTTTTATGGTTGTTTTACGTGTAATTATGGCTAAACACGTTATAATACGATGTGAGGTACGAAGAAAAAATCTGTTCACAATTGTTATATTGTTCACCATGCCAAGTTTCAGTGCATTGACAATGCTCAACTTGTTTTTCAAAATTGAAAACCAAAGGTGGGGGGAAAGAGGAAAAGAGCCTAACTTTCTGTTTTAGGCTTCTTCGATGGGACTACGTGGAGGATGAATCATTCTCTGATTTGAAAGAACAATTTGACCATGTCATATCAGCCGACTGGTAAGTAAAAACCACGTCTCATGCTGACATCCAAGTCTGTTTTTGAGCCAATTGTTTTACATTCATGTGATATTGTGTTTCAGCCTATTCTTTGATGAGTTCAGAAGTCATCTTGCACATACAATAGCAACTGTTTTAAAACCAAGGGTTAGTTCATTTGGTTTCAGTTATACCTTCTTACTAGCGTACGGTATAAAAAAATGGACTTTTAGATTCAGAATTAACAAATTTTTAAGAATTTCCAGCGGAAAAAAACATTGATTTAATTTGCAAAAATTTTAAATCTTAAAGGTTCTTGCAATTGAAAGAGTTGTAAGATCTATTTTCTCTATAAAGTTCAAAAAATTGAAATCTTGAAATCATTCGTTTTTTCGGTGTCCTTAAAATCAGTAATAATTTTTTGTCTTTTCTTGACCATGTTCAAGTGTCAAAGAATGAAGTGAATATTCGTTTATTTAGGTTGTGTGTTGTTTTTTGGGAAACAATCTTTTTTCAAGTTTTTTTTTTCAAATTTAGTTTATGCTCTCCAAAAGCAAAAGAGAAAATGTAGGTTTAATTTTAGTTTCAAAAGTTGATTTTTATTTTTCCTAGAGATTGGTTTTAATTTTCTCAACGGATTAAAAACAACTACATTTTGATCCAATTTCGTTTAGTTTAGTAGTTGAAATTTAAAAATGTTTCAGCCAATAAATATTTTAAAAAATGATAAATCAAAAATCTGATTTTTTTTTGGTTTTGTATTAATTCAAACTGTGTGTTGTGTTGGCTATTTTCTATAATTGAAATTTGAGATATTGTTTACGCTCATTTTTCTATTTTGGTGGTCTGACATTTTGATTTTGTAAGCTGTAATTAATTCTCAATTTTGAGGCAAACTAACGTTAAAAAAAGCTGATTCAAATCAAGTCAGCTTCCATTGTAATAACACCAATAGCTCATCATTTTTTTTTCATTGATGATTGAAATAGTTTTATCACCAACAATGATTGAAGCGGGGAAGTTCAGCAATAAAGAAAAAGGAAAAGCACAATTGTATTCCATTGAATAGGAAAAAAACAGTAGGAAATAATAGCTAATTTACACAAACTAGCTAATAGTAGCTAGGGGCAATTAAATGACATCTGTAACGGCTTTGTTGGTGGCTAGTGTTTAAGTGTTTTCTAGTGACAGTAGCACAGATTCGAGGCTGCGAGACTGCTGATCTCCACGTCTGGGGTTTAATTTCGGCGCATAGCAAGAGTTTTCAAGGCTTGTCTGCATCTCATCTCTCCTTATTTCACTTTTTTCCCTTTTAGATCTGTATTGGGCATTTCTCGCTTGTGTTTGCGTAGTACAGCTTTGCTTCTGTACCGACTTGTTTAATTAATGTGGATTTTCTGTTGCAATTTGTTATCTTTCAAGTTTCGTGTTTTAACTGAAACCGTTTTTTTATGACTAAAAATGAGTTGTTTTATTAAGTGATACCAAACTCGGCCGAGCTTTCTTTGAGGTAGTCAAAATTGAATACAAAATTTTTTTTCCTATGCAATGATTTCTCCAGTGACGTGGTAGGAAAAATAATATTCTCTGTCCCAAGATGGGTAGTCGAAAGTTTCCATACTCCATAATCCCGCCAGTAACGTGGTCGGAGCAAAGTTCTGTCTCAAGATTGGTTTTTTTTCTTGGCCAATTTTATTGATTTCAGTAGCAGAAGAGATGTTCAATTTAGTTCAGATTTTGTTCAATAGGATAAAAATATAGAGGTAAATGGAAATTTTTCCCGCGTAGTTTTTCTCCAAAACGGAACAAAAGAAGAAAAATCGAACTGACTACAGACTATGCTTAGACAGGCTCGATAGCTTTTCATAGATCCTCAGCGAATTGCAGAAACTACATTTGATTAATTTAGTTGTAATATTTAGTTTTATTTGAAGAATTTATTGACTGCTTTTTTTGGAATTGCTTAAAATAATTTTTCTAAGTAAAAATTGAAATATATAGTTCAAATTATTGACCTATTAAGCAAGTAGTTGAGTTACGCGCGAATAACAAGTATTGTGAACAAAGTTATTGGTGAGCAGTTTTGAAATACATTCTATACATAAAAGTTTTATCCTATCTCTAAAACTTGTATCTACTTGAAATTTGTTTCTTGCAAGTTTTTTGAAATTGATGGGCCAATATATACATTTTCAATTCAAGATGCTTACACGATAGGAACGTAGTATGGTACAGGCCTCAAACGATTCTGCTAGCAGCAAAATTTGGCTTATAGAGCAGAACATTTTATAGAGCAGCAGATCTCACGGCAGAATTTTTCGATACGGCGGAATTTATCGATTTTTCTCTGTTTTTTTTTTCATAATTACAACATGAATGCCTCAATTCTAGTTCTCAGAAATACCAAATACGCATCTATGCGCTAATCGACTAAATTTTAAACAAAAATTGCTCTATTTCTCAATGACTCTATCAGCAACTCTACTACTCTTCTATTTTGTTTCCTGAAAATGCTCTGTTCGTTTTCCAAGTTGACTTTTTCTTGAAAAGCGACGAAAACGGCAGTTTTTTCATAATAAACGTATGATTAATTAAAATTTTCAATGAGCAGAAAAAGCAGAATTTTTTTTGTTAAAACAGCAGAATTTGCTCAATATAGTAGCAGAATTATTTGGGGCCTGGGTATGTTAGAACGATGCAATTTTGCAAGGCGCAATTAAAAGTGCTACTTTTGGTAGCTTTTTTTGAATTTGTAGGCTGCATTAGCCTTACAATACCCGGCGCTTTGACATTTGATTAGAAATAAGTTAACACAGTTGATGCTTTTTAACTCATAAATTGAACCGAAAAAGCTATTTGTTTCATGCAACAGTATTATAGCTAAAACTCCGTTTCCGAAAGTTTCCAACTCGGTATATTTTGCGAGGTTTTTAAAATACATAATTCATACGCAATTTGGTTTTTACCTTCTAATTTATTACATGCAAAGTTAGTGTGGCTGCCTTTAATTTTTTAAAATCCTGCATTTTTGGCGCTTTTTTGTTAGCTCCTGCATTTTTGGCGCTTTCTCGGTCGTGTTTGCGAAGTTGCAGCTTTGCCTCGGTGTGAATTTTTTCAATTTCTTCTCCCGTCATGTTGTATTGACGCAAGCAAACGCCGATGTAGTAATACGAATTCTCTCCCCCCCCAAAACTTTTTCAATTTAGGGGGCGAACTTTTTCACACGATAACTTTGAAGAGAATTTTATATATAGAAACAATTATTACGCCGGCTTAACTGTTTTGTAGCCCATCAAAATTGATTTGGGTAAAAAATTTCAAAGTACAATTAAATTTTGCGCGTTTGTATGAAATGCATATTTTATAGAGAATTTAATTTCAGAATGAACGCATGCTTGGGGAGGACATAATACGGTAGGTCACTTAGTAGGGGGATTGAACAGTTGATTTGATTTTTTTTTCAATCTGGCCGGCACAAATGTGTGTTGAATTTCATTGGCGAATGTGTTTTGTAAGCTTTATTAGAATGTTGTTGTAGGGTGAGGCGCTAATAATAGCACCGAAGAGAGGCCACTCATTTGACGACTTCGTCTCCATCTGCAGGAGTGACCGCTTCAAGCCACTGTTCTCGTCTGTCGAGGTCGATTCGCACTTCGACGCATATATCTACAAGCTAAGCGAATATGTGAGTCACCCACTTAATCTCACCCATGCTCATGCATCTATTCCTATATCGAAGATTATGCACAGAAGACAGTGCCTTGAAGTTGCAGCTTTGCTGAATGGTTAATCGATCTAGATTGTTTGTTGCAGATAGTTTTGAAATGAAATTTGAAATAGACAGTTTTCGAAGTGTCAACCATAGCTTTTTACGAACAGCATGAGCTATTTTTGTGGTATTAGAGCGTCCTAATTTCTGTCTGTAATTATGGCTTGTTATAGGGCAGTCGTAGTATGGTGTGAAAGCAAGTGAGTATCCAGTCGGTGGTCGGGATTTGAGTCGTAGTCTCCGCAGTCTTTTAATAATGAATTTTCAAGGCTCCTTTTTGCCGTCTTTCGTCTGCGTGTGAAGTGCAGTTTTGCTTCTATATAAAAATGTTCGACTAATCAAAAACCAAATTTTAACGAAATTGAATGTCCATAGCAATGTTTTAGTGAATTAAATGAGCAATATTTTAGTGAATTGTATGGCGATGCTGATTGATTATTCGTATAGTTGAAAACCATTTCGTTTCAGTATCTGAAAAGAAGTACCAACTTCAGTCCATCAAGACATCAGCCAATCCTCATCAAGCTGACTAAGTGCTCATAGCCGAGCGATTGCTAGCTCAAGTGGTGCTCAAATCCCAATGCAGATAGAAAATAAAAACAAACCAGGTCAACTAAGTTCAAGTCACTGTCACAACAGAAAGGACCACATCAATAACCGACATCACGCCACACATTACCAGACTTCATTCCAATCTGAAGCGAGCGTTTCTATCGAGTCTTTTCCGGCCAGATATCCGTCGCAGTATCACACGTCTTCGAGCAGTAGTCAGCTCATAATTAAGTCATCAGTGCTAATCTTCGGCCATCACTACAAATATATATAAAGATTTTTATAAAAATTAGTATCAAAATTTTCGAATGTTTCAAATTATTATTGCAGTCGGCACCAAATTTTTGGGAGAGTTTTGAACTGCCAAAAACCGGCAGTCAATAGGCGATATTAACTGTTGCACTCAGGAGTATTGACTTTTTTTAGGTCGACCGAATTGATTTTCTGAGCTCTCCAAAATCCTCATAAAGACCTTAATTCGACTAATTTTTTTACGCCGCAGGCCAAAAAAGCGGTTTTAGGCCCTTTTTAAAGATTTTTTTTTTCGGCGCGCGCTCCTTCCTCAAAGTTAGTAGTATATTTTGGCGCCAAAGGCTGCCTTAGAAAAAATTTAATGTCAGTCAGCCAAAAATGGATATTTCAAAATAGTACAAAGGGGGACCCTTTGGATCAGCAGGGGGTCGAATCCCTGATGGGGGGGGGGCGTTCAGACCCCCTAAATCCGCTACTGGTTGAATTTACTTTTAAAAGTCGACATTTACGAAATATAACTCTATTTATTGAAAATGATTGCTGCTAGTATCATCTTAAAATCAATAACTTGTAGGGTTTAAAATAATATCGACTCATGCATTTTTCCTGCAATAGAATTCTTAGTTTTTTATTCGAAATGATATGTTTTTATTCTGTTTCTGAATTTCCTGAAAATTCTTTTATTAGCCTTAAGCTAAATCAATAATGAAAACTCTCATAGAGTCAAGTTTCATTTGGCATTGGTCGTGAATTTTACCCTTGCCATTGCGTGTTGAACCAGGCACTAGACTTGTTCCCCCGTAAACAACTTTGCTCGCAAGATTTCGCACTCGTGTTTCAACTTGGTTCACAATAAATTAAAAATCAATCAGCTATCCAGCGCATCTGGAATAGATGGAAATTACTTGCATTAGGCGAGAAAGGTTAGAGGTTCGAATCCGGCTGGGAAATTGAGAGAGTGTAAAATCCGGCTGGGGTTTTCTGAATTTCCAAATGCCATTTTAAAAGTCCTTTTGGTTGAGGCAATTGAATTACAAGATTTTTGTGGCTCAACGAATGTTTGCGGAAAAATTGTCGGCTTTATTACCACTTCGTAAGATTTATGTCGATGCAAATATAAATTTTAATTGTCTCGTTGACTTGTTTTTTTTAAATTTTTTCCAGGAAAAGTCTTAAAATTTGTTCAGCCTCAAATTAAATTTTCCTCGGCTAAACTTTTGATTTCTTTTTAAGTTAAGTTCATTTTATTGTAAAGAGGAAGGTAATCATAGTCTAGTATTACGAAAACAGGGTTTTCGTTTGATCATAGTGTCTAATGTGACTTTTCATTCAGTTGTTTTCACATAAGAAAAAAAACTTTTCCCTCAGTGTTAAAATATTATTTTTTACACAAGCAAAATTGTGTGTTATTACGAACTCTCTTTTTTCCCAACCTAAGTCACAAATATTAGTGTTCTTTTTGAAAGTGCTCTTTTATTGCAATATATGCATAAGATCAATAACCAGCTATTAAGTACATCCAACGCTAAGGATATTAATGCAGACTATTATATGAAAAATAGCACTTTAGCTTCAAGGTATCATGGATCTGTAGCGTAGAGGTATGAAAGGAGACCAGCAGCAAAATAAGAGGGTTCGAACCTCAACAGGTTCACATGTTTTTAATGAACTTTTTCGTATACTAGTTAAAATGCGTCCGCTCTATAAATTGAGGCATTTTAGTTGGTAAATTTCTTTTCAAATTGACTGGTACTGCTAATGCGTCATAATTGGCTTGCGTCACTTAGCAATTATGTAGACTTATAATTGGCGTGCGTCACTTAAGAAATTTTGTAGACTCAAAGTTTTTCTCATTCAGTTTTTCCCAGTAGCGTTGTCGGTCATATTTTAGCTTGTGTATGCGAAGTGCCACTTCGCCTCTGTGTAAATTCTTAAAATTGGGGTGAAAAGTTTGATATTTACCTTCATATTTTAATTTACTCCGTTTGATTAGCAAGATTAATGTAACAGTACTGCATTTTGTTTCCTATAAAAAATTTGCTAAAAGATTTTGCACGTGAGATATTACGTGCTTCATTACCCTCGCGATAAATACCGCTATTGCAACCTGGTACTAATTTTCTTTTTTCAGATTTTTAATTGTTCACTGGATGACTGAAATTGGTGGTCTTAAACAAAACTGTACTTTCGTCAACTTTAAGACGTATTTAAAGCATGACTGCATTAAAGCATGACTGCATTAAGGCGCTTTTGTAATGAACGTAGTGGGTACTCTTATATTGGTTTTGAAGATATATTGTTCAAGAAGTCTTAAAATTTGTTCCTGCTTAAATTTGATCCAAGTTCCACTATCGACCAGAAAAAAATGTACGGTCTCGAAAAAGCGGGATCAACTTCTAATTTCGAAAATGGAATTTAATTATCAGATTTCCCAGCGAAAAAAAAGTTTTTCTCATGACCTTAATTTTTTCAAATTGGGTTAATTTTATTAAGAGTAATGAACCTAGTGAAGAGTTGGATAGGTATTGCTGAATTTTTTTCGCAGTTTCTGAGTTGATTTGAAATTCATGTGCTTATTGTGACTTAATTAGCACTCTCCAAATACTAACGTGGAAATGGCGCGAAAAAACGTGAACGATTTCTAGTTTCGAAAGTGAAATTCAATTTTAAGATTTCCAGCGGAATAAAATTTTGACCTATTGATCCAGTTTTTTCAAATTGAGTTAATGTTATCAAAAAAGCGTTCATTACTCTTTTTCCAATCTTCGATTGGCTATGCTCAAAAAATATCGACGGTTCTGCTGTAATATCGAAGATTTTTTTTGGAGTCAGACAACGAGAGAAGTATAGGTTGTGATAATTTTTTTCATGAAAAGATTTGTTTGCGCTGAATTATGATTTTTCGCGGTTTGATTATTGATTTTTTTAAGTTTGTTTTAGTTCATTTTATTCGCAAAAAGGAAGGTTAACTCCACTATGGGACACTAAAATTGTAAAGAGCTGGAAAAAGGTCTTCATTTTTAAGTGCAATTCGAATTGATTTATTAAAATGAAGGCATTTACGCTCTCGTATTATGAAAACGGAAATAGTGCAGATAATTGTGATCAAATTTTAGCTTCGAAAGTGGATTTACATTTTAAGATTTCCTAGCGTCTTAAAGAAATAACATATTGATCCAGTTTTCTCTAATTGAGCTTGTTCTTCGAAAAAATTGTTGTTCATAAAATTTTCTTAAAATTTAGAGAGCTTCAACGTCTTTTTGAAATTATAAAGGCTGCTTTGAGCTAATTTGTTCAGAGAATGAATGAGAATTTGAATGAGTTCACTTTGAGTACGATGTGCCTCCATTTTAAATTTTCGCCTCAAGATAAAATTTTTTATTGGTGCCAAAAAGGCGGCTTCATCGGAATTTTGAGTAATTTTCTGTTGGAAGTTAGGCTTTCCCTCAGTTGAAAGATTGTCAAACAAAGTTGGTAATTTGGGGAGCGACCGGAAGCTGTTTTAATTGTTTGAGAAAGCATAAGTGTTGGATTGGGGGCTATTCTCATGCGCGAAGGACCGAATGGGCGAGAAAACTCGTGGCCGAAAGTCAATTTTTAAAAAGAAGAAATTGCTATTCAATTAAAATGAATTAAGTGAAGCAATCTTTTGCTTTTTTCTTAACGAAACCCTTGAAGTATAAAATTTGTTCCAATTCGGCGGCGGTCAGTGACAATTTGAAAAATTTTCATAATTCTGCCGTTTTTATATTCGGTCAATATCAATATTCAATCCCTGGAAATGTTTACTTTCTTTCCACGTTTTAGAAATCTGATTGGCTGATTTTGATTTTTCGTGCATTTGGTCCTTCGCGTATAAGGGATTCCAACGTTGGATTCTACAGAATCTCTTTAGCTGCATTGTATATAAAGTATTGGCGGATCTTCAACAAACCGCTATATCTACAAACCGCCTTTGCGCATTCATAGGTCCCAAAATGAAAAATCACGCCCATAGGTCCCGAAATAAAATAGCAGTCGCATAAGTCCCAAATTTTTTCAATTGGTCAAAAGACTAAATTAGCCGAGTCCGGCTTAAGGTCGCCGGTGGGAGCACTAACGCGCGTCGCCGCTTCGCGGCGATAACCGGCTCTAAATTTCGTATAGAGTCCTACCCTTTGGTGGCAAGCTCGCAACACGTTGGCGCGGCTGCGGCGGTCACTATTCTGCAGCTTGAGTTTATGCTGCTTGAACAGTAAACAATCAATCCATGAATTCGTCGGCTCAAATTTCAACCAATCAAAGTTCAAGAAGATAAATTTTGGGACTTATGCGACTGATTTTTTTTTATTTTGGGTGCTATGAATATTGGGACCTTTGGGAATTCACCCAAACCGCCATATCTTGAAGTCGAAATTGTATTTGAACAAAGTAAAAATTGCATGACAATAGTGAAAATCTGTTCTGTGTTGCTTAGCAACATAAGTTTTCGGCTGTTTGGTATACCACCAATTTTTTCCCGTAGTCGCTTTTTGTCCGAAAACTTCGAGCCTCTTTTGAAAAGGATGCAAATGTCAACAAGCTTGCAGTTGTGCATGTGCCGACTGTTGCTATTTCTAATATTGCCTATGAATGTGAATTTTATGACTGCAGAGAGTTCTTTAGTTCCCAGTTCTTTTGCTTAGATAGACTTTGTCCTTTTATAGCTTTTACCTAATATGTATTCTACAAATTGCTTTAAATTCAATTATAACGATAAAATTGTTCAACTAATTGAAATATAAACGAATTTGTCTTTTTATCCCATAAGCCTTTCAATTTTTTGATGACCAGAGCGCTTAACTGTTCATATATCGATTGTTGAGAATGTTTAAAAAAATCAAATTCCTGTTTCTAATCTTTAATTTTTGACTTAATTTAGATTAAGCAATGTTGAAAAGATCCAGCTGTATAGCGTCACAATTCGCGAGATCATGCTACACGGCGACACGGCCGGCTCTCAACATCGGCAAGGACACTAAAGTAATATGTCAGGGAATGACTGGCAAACAGGGAACTTTCCACACCAAACAGGCCATTGAATACGGGACGAATGTTGTTGGAGGAGTGTCGCCGGGAAAAGGAGGACAGATGCACTTAGACTTACCCGTGTTCAATTCGCCTAAGGAAGCGAAATTAGCGACAGATTGCGACGCGACTGTCATTTACGTTCCAGCACCACTGTGTGCTCAGGCGATCACAGACGCGATTGACGCCGAGATCCCTTTGATAGTTTGCATCACTGAAGGTATCCCACAGCATGACATGGTTAGAGTGCGACACAAACTAGTGCGACAGAATAAGTCGAGGCTGATTGGGCCAAATTGTCCAGGAGTAATCAAAGCAGGCGAGTGTAAAATTGGAATCATGCCTGGTCATATTCACAAAGCTGGCAGAATAGGAATCGTTTCTAGATCTGGAACCCTAACTTATGAAGCAGTTGCTCAGACTACGGTAACTGGTCTAGGTCAGACACTTTGTGTTGGAATTGGGGGTGATCCGTTCAATGGAACTGATTTTATTGACTGTCTCGACATTTTCCTGAAAGACCCTAAAACTGAAGGAATTGTGTTGATTGGAGAAATTGGAGGATCGGCGGAAGAAATGGCTGCTGATTTCTTGAAAGAGCATAATAGTGGCGAACACGCGAAACCAGTTGTAAGTTTTATTGCTGGGGTGACTGCACCTCCAGGCCGTAGAATGGGTCATGCTGGGGCTATTATTTCTGGCGGCAAGGGGACGGCTACGGAGAAAATTGCCCGATTGAGAGATGCTGGAGTTACCGTGACGACTAGTCCAGCCAAAATGGGTTCTTCATTGTTGTTGGAGTTCCAGAAACGAGGATTGGCTTCTTAAAACTGGCAATTGATGGCCATTGATTTATTTACTTACGAAATAGTGTTTTCATGCGAAGATGAATTACAATAGAAATTTTAACCATGTAACTTTTTTGCGCGAACTCGCCAGAACGGAGTATAGTCGCCCGGGCTGCCGAACAAGTGTTTAATTATAACATTTGTGATCGGAACGTATGGCTCTACTCGCACATCAACCCTGTTGATTATATTTGTCGTTTGATCATAGTGCTAGATGTGAATTTTTATTCAGATGTTTTCACATTTGAAAAAAGTAATTTTCTCAGTTTTCACATATATGTTTTTTTTGTTCTTAAAATGTGGATAAAAATTTGATATTTACCTTCATTATTTAATTTACCCTTTTTGATTAGCAAATTTATTGTAACCGTACTAGATTTTGTTTCCCATAAACAATTTTTCTAACATAATTCGTGCGTGAGATTTACGTGTTTCATTACCTTTGCGATAATAGCATCTGTTGCAACCTCGTACTAAATCATTTTCCGTAATTAAAGGTGTTCACAGGATGACTGAAGTTTGTGGTCATCTACAAATCTGTACTGCCGTCAATTTGAAAACTTATTGTGAGCATGTCTGGATTTTAAATGCCCCTTCAATTTGCTTTTCCAAAGTAATGAACGTAGTGAGCACCCTTATAGAGGTCTTGGTAATTTTTTCAGGATAAAGTCTTTCTATTTGTTTCAGTCATAAATTGTTCTGCAAGTACAAATAGTACAAATTCTTCGAAAGTTTTTTTTTCAAAATGAAGTCAGTTTTTTTCTGTTTCCTTGAGAATTTTTTTCAACTGTCAGTTGACTTTGTTTTAAGAGTCAATGAACGTTGTAAAGACTCGTATATAGGTCTTGATGAGTTTTTGTTTTATTCTTTAGGAAAAGTTTTGGAAATTTTTTTCACGCTCCCTTTTGATTTTTCGCGATTTGCAATTTTGAGTTCCCTTTAAGCTTAATTCATCTCATTTGCTAAAAGGAAGGCTAACTCCACTACCGAAAAGCCATATTGCCAAGCTCAAGAAAAACGTGATCGACTTCCAGTTTTTAAAGGGGATTTTACATTTTAGATTTCCCCGCGGAACAACATTTTTCCTTTTGATCCAGCTTTCTCAAATTGGGTGAATTGTATCAAAAAAGCCTCACCAAAAGTTGCTTTCATTGACTCTTTTCCTACACTCTATTGGCTATGATTTGATTTTGCGTCATTCAATTGCAGAGAAGTTTTCACAATTTTTTCGGGTTTCTTATATACAAAGTTGTTCCACTCAACGGGTTTCTGTTTATTTAGTTTTTTGTACGACGGGTATTATTTAAGTACAATTATCTGGTATCTTTTTTTTCAAGTTTTTATAGACAAAAACGGGAATGCTTTGATTTTTTTCTTAATTTTCTTACCTACCAATTTTGATCAAGATTCTTTTCCTCGGATGAAAAGACGTCATCGCTAACAGGCATAAATTGGGCAATTTGGCGTTCTAAATACCCTGTATAAATTAGCGAGATTAGTATGAACTCGTTTTTTTTACAACCTAATCGCATATAAGTGTTCATTTGGTGCCACGTTTGCTATAATTACAATCTGTAGCTATGGAAGTTTCGTAGCATCTGTTCTCTGCTTTATTTAAGACTTATGTTTGTTGATCGCTAAGCCTCCGTGACCGAATGGGAAGGACGTGAGACTCTTAATCTCGAAGTCGCTGTTTTGAATCCGTCGCGTGCCAAAAGTTTTCCTTTTGAAGCCTATTTCTACTTTTCTTATTTCACTTTATAGAGCAGATTTTTTGTCTTTTTCTTGTTAGTGATTGCGAAGCGTAGCTTCGCTTCTGTGTAGAATTTTGTTTTTGTCGTGATTCTAGAAGTTCCGTTGTTTCTATAATAGTTTTAAAATAAATATGTGCTTTCTTCTAAATAGGGTTGATACATTCTCGGGGTAGTTGCCTCATTTTGTGTCTTTTTCAGGATAATATTTTTTGCAAGTAATTCGCGCTCAAATCGATATGAAAATATTTTAAGCCTTGGGATAAGCAAGGGTTTTGCAACCGGGTGCACGACTTTTACCCTTCAGTAAATAACTTTATTTATAGGTTTTCAACATGTATTACCTCCAGTTTTTGTAATATGTAGTTTTGTCGCTGAAAAATTATAGTTGTACTGCGGCTTTCTTACTGGTTGAAGATAGCAATTTTTTTCAGAAGTTATTTTATTATTTGTTGCCGGTCGTATAGATTTTGAGCCGAGTTTTCTTTCTTGCCATTTGTTACGGAGAGATTGTCACGTATATAGTTGGTGATTATAGTTTTTTTTTATCGTTTTACAAAAAGTTTGAAAATTGGTCCACGCTCAAAATTGATTTTTCGCTGTTTGAAATTCGATTTTTTCTAAGTCATTTTACTTCTTTCGATAAAAATGTCAAAAAAACTAAAATCCAGAAAGTTAATTGCTTTGTTCATTAACAGCTGGGTTTGCAGCCTTAGCATTGTATCTGCTTTAATTTAGCTGCATTTTTCTTACTTTTTATACCTTTCTATGTTTTTCCTGTATCTCGAGGTCGGGAGTTCGATTCCGTTACATAGAATTTTTGTAATAGTCTTTCCTTTTCTATTTATCACTGCTCGGCCTCTTAGACTGCTTTTTGCTGTTTTATCGCTACTGTTTCCGAACTGCAGCTTCGAATCTGTGTTTCAATATTGACCTGATTGCTTTGTATCAAAAGGAAGTATCGCACTGGATTGAAGCGTGAGCATGTTTCTGGCTGAGCATTGAAGCGTGAGCATGTTACGAACAAAGTTTTTTGTTACTAAGGGGCGTCGTTTTTTTTTGTCAACTGTATTTCGTTTCTCACTGTTTTTTACAAGATTCTGATTCATAACAATGATGTATAAGAGTAGTTTCCCTGGCTTTTTAGAGCTTTTGTAATTTTTCTGAATTTTTTTGTTTTGAAGTTTTTTTGATTCAAATGTTTTCATTTAATTTTTTTTCTTTCATGATAATCTTGTTTAAAAACAAGCAATGGGTTGAGTTTTGTGATACCTCTAATTGCTCCTGATGGTTGGAAGATTCTTTGCGAAGTGTCCAATTAAAATTTGTTCAAGTATTTCAATCTCTTAGTTATGAAAGAGCTCTTAGTTTTCTGTATCCCGAATATCTTAGGTTATACATTTTTTAAGACACAGGATGAAGAATTTAGGAGTTTTCTTCTCTGTTATTATTTTTATTTTCTTCGTATAACGAAGAGATGAATATAGATTTATGTTGTAAAAAGAACCAACAAGTTGATTGGCATAATTAAAAACGTTCCAGAATGATTTCTTTCACCTAATGACTTTCCCCGGTCTGAAAAAATCAGTTTTTTTCATGCGTTTTTTCAATAATTTCATTTATCTTTTGAACTTAAGCATTTAGGTTTGTATCGCAAGTGATGCGAAGCTCCTCTTCCTCTCGGTGTTTACAATTTCTTTTCCATTTGTTTAATTCAGCTGCGTGAAACGATTTTTTGGCTTAAATGGTTTCAATTTATGCTATATCTATTTAGTTGCCTGGTAATACTTGGTTTCAAGCGTTAAAATACGTTTAATGCGTTTGTGCTTGGGCGCTCGTGAAACATGCGATACAAAACTTTTTAAACTGAAAATTTTCTTACTGATTTTCTTTCGGTCTCAATAATATTTTTGTTTTGAATTAACTCAGGAAAGTAAGTAGTTCTGAAAGTTTATTCAAAACTACTGAATACTAATTTAATTCCGGCAGTTTGTAATAAGCCCTGAATGTTTATTCAGCGCTTGCGATTGTGTTTCTTGACATTTTTCAGCTAATGGAACATCATTCGAGACAATTGTCTGAATGTTTTTAGACGTTTTTTTTTCGAATTTTCATTTTTTTATCGATTGAGTTGCTTCCGTCTTTTTTTCTATTCGGCAACTTTCAATGAATTGGCTTGAACTGGCTTGAATTCGTCAAAGAAATCTTGTACGGATTTTCCGAGAATATACGTCAGTTTAACAGTCGGTGAACGTTGGGAAGACTCTCATATAGATCTTGATGATTTTTTCTTAAATGTCTCAATGCTCAAAGTTTCAAAATGCTCAAAGTTGATTTTTCGTAATTTGGCTTTTGATGTATTTACGCTTGCTTTTCGCAAGCGTTAGTTAATCGGAAAATAGACTTTTTTGGTTTAACAACTAGTTTACCTAAATCACTTGAATCGCTAGACTTCATTCACGTGAACTCCACTCACGTGCTGTCAAGCTCAATCTCCGGCAAACTTGGCATAGAGTTATTTTTTGCAAGTAATTCGCGCTCAAATATTTTTTGCAAGTAATTCGCGCTCAAATCGATATGAAAATATTTTAAGCCTTGGGATAAGCAAGGGTTTTGCAACCGGGTGCACGACTTTTACCCTTCAGTAAATAACTTTATTTATAGGTTTTCAACATGTATTACCTCCAGTTTTTGTAATATGTAGTTTTGTCGCTGAAAAATTATAGTTGTACTGCGGCTTTCTTACTGGTTGAAGATAGCAATTTTTTTCAGAAGTTATTTTATTATTTGTTGCCGGTCGTATAGATTTTGAGCCGAGTTTTCTTTCTTGCCATTTGTTACGGAGAGATTGTCACGTATATAGTTGGTGATTATAGTTTTTTTTATCGTTTTACAAAAAGTTTGAAAATTGGTCCACGCTCAAAATTGATTTTTCGCTGTTTGAAATTCGATTTTTTCTAAGTCATTTTACTTCTTTCGATAAAAATGTCAAAAAAACTAAAATCCAGAAAGTTAATTGCTTTGTTCATTAACAGCTGGGTTTGCAGCCTTAGCATTGTATCTGCTTTAATTTAGCTGCATTTTTCTTACTTTTTATACCTTTCTATGTTTTTCCTGTATCTCGAGGTCGGGAGTTCGATTCCGTTACATAGAATTTTTGTAATAGTCTTTCCTTTTCTATTTATCACTGCTCGGCCTCTTAGACTGCTTTTTGCTGTTTTATCGCTACTGTTTCCGAACTGCAGCTTCGAATCTGTGTTTCAATATTGACCTGATTGCTTTGTATCAAAAGGAAGTATCGCACTGGATTGAAGCGTG